TAAAACTGCGACCCTTCCAAGCATTATTCCATTTTACACTACATTCTACATGATATAAATATATTCATAATTATTTTTCAGAACGAAGTGTGATGATCTACCAGAAGAAGAACAAATATCCGCTGAATTGAAAGAGCTGTTTCCAGATTATCATACCACCGATTTTTCAGAATTTCAGAAAACTTTAGACTCGACAGAATCTACGGCTCCAGTTGAAGAGACGATCAAAGAAACTGTTACTTACGAAGACCTAAAGTTTGTGATGAATCTTCATACAATGCTTGTGAAAAGTTTCACGAAGACTGAATGGTTGAATCCTGATAAGGATAATAGTATCAGCCATGATTTCTTACTTCCTCTATTACAGAAACAGAAAGTTTTCGCGAAGATTCTGGATAAAACCCATCATGCATTAGACTATAAGCTAGATGCAGAACTTTTTGGATGCATGAACGTTGTATTGGCTGTTACTCAGAGATACGGAGATAGCTGTAAAATTTGTGAGTAACTTAATGCACATTGCTCAACATATATTACGTTACTCCTTATGTGGTAATCATATATATATACCTATATATACGAGTATTTATATATATACAGGGTGACTTCGAAGTTGAGTCATTTATTTTAACAGTGAGTAGATCTGATCAAAAGAAATGTTTTTTTCCTTTACCATTTTTCTGGTAAAATTAAAGTAACAAAGTTATAGTCCTTTGGAAGTTTGAGTACCGCCCTGTCTCAATAATAATATTATGTGCTCATGTTTGGCAACAACGGATATAATCCGCCTTATCGGTTCATCACATCGGAAACAAAAAGCGAAAGAATTTGGAACGATTTTTTTACAATTAGTTTATTCAGTTGTATACAGTCAGTGTCAGTCGGTAACGCGTGAGTGAATAGTGGTGTCTGTTGCGTTGCTCAAACGAAATAAAAAATGGCACATGTTTATGCGGATCGGTTTCCCAATCGAGTGCAACCAACCCCTCGTGCCTTTGTTAATGTAGTACAACGGGCTCGTGAATCAGGTGACTTAAGACCTCACAGGGGACGGCATGCCGGTGCTCCAAGACCTCACGATCAAATACAGGTCCGCACTGAAATACTTGTCGGGAGGATACTTTATAAAACAAGGTAAATTTTTTTTTTTTATTTTTTATTTTTATTTTTACACACATATTTTGGTTTATCTTCCTTCTACAATCATTATCTGAAAATTAATGACTAAACTTCAAAGTCACCCTGTATATATATATATATATACGATTAATAGTTAGTGTCGATAATAACTAGTTAAATGAAAGACTTGTCTTTGGGGATATCGACAAATTAAGCAAAGTGTACCCTTCTGACTTACAAATACTCAAGCTTTCGACAAGCTATGCATCATCTTTAGGAGCTAAAAATAAAACTGAAAATAGTAAATAGCAAACCATGCTCAATTGATTATAATGTATAAATAGTATATTTTCCAGCTGATGTTACGTCGCCAACAAAAATAATGAATAAGAAAAGCAGCGATTTCTATAAAGACCCGAATCAAGAAGAAGTTAAATCTTGCTATCACATCTTGGAAGACTTGAAAAGGAAGATCCTTGAAATATTACATGAGTGGCCAGATCAACCCACTTTAAGAGATGTAAGTGTGAAGAATATTGAGGATGTTGATAGATGTGACATATCTAACTTAGAACTAAACAATAACAAAATTATATATGTATTATCAGCAAGTATGTGAAAATTACATTGCTGAAAATGGAAACAACTGGTAAAACATTAAAAAGTATTTTATATTTTTAGATTATAACTGTCATTGAGAGGATATACACCTTTGATATAAACAGCCCTGTTTCGAGGTTTCTCACGGGTTTCGAGATATTACTGAGCAAATGTCATGAATGGGAAGAAGTGGCGCATTCTGGTGTCAGCCTCAGTGAGTTTTCCAAAAACCTAACTGAACAAATTATCACATGGAGGAAGTTGGAGCTGAATATGTGGAAGGACCTTTTGAACAAGACTTGTGACAAGTGGGTATCTTGAAATAGAATAAGATTTTTTGTTTGTTTTTCCTTTCACGACACCTTGTAAACTTAGAAACGCCGTTCAGAATTTCACTTTCATTTGCAGAACTATTAAGCATCATTTTCAACTGTAATTTTTTTTCTCTTTGATCATGCCATTTAGTTTTATTAACTTTGAATATTATATAGATAGTTTTGACGATCAAACGCATACGCAAACCTTAACCTTAAGTCGATAATTCAGGTGTGATGAATCAGTCAAATAAGCTTAACGTTAAAGTTTACGTCCGCGGTATTTGTGATTGACAAAAGTTTCTAATAATTTTTAAAATATTTTTTCAGGATGAACGAATTTACTGCCAAATGGTGGCTCTACCTATACAATATTTGCGATCAATTCATCACCAAGTCGATTTCCGAAACTGACTTGATTCAAACCTTGCAAAGTTTCATCACAAAATCAAACTTGGCGGAATTCCACAGCAGACTAGACCTGCTTTACGTCTTTCATTGTCACGCAACTCAATTGCCCAGATCGCAAGAAATGCAAACACTTGTCAGCATTTTCTGGAACTTGTACTGCTATTTTAAACAATATTCTCAAGTAATAACCAATAAAATAAAAGATGTGAGGACGCCCATAGAGAAAAAGCTGAAAGATTACGTGAAAATAGTGAGGTGGAAAGATATTAATTACTGGTCTATCAAGGAGACGATTGATAAATCCCACAGCACGCTGTATAAGCACATGCGGGAATTCAGGGATGCTCTTCAACAGCCGGTTATGCCATATCTGCATAACCTGGAATGTGGTACGAGGGAAACTGAAGGAATTTGGGATAGACCGCAAAGGCAAAGTCCGTCGATTCATCATTATACACTGGATGCGGATATATATGTCGCGAAACACTCGTTGGCAAGGGTAAGAAAGCCTTTAAGTCAAGTAATTTATTACATATCTGGCATCGTTGTACTTTTATTACGAATAATTGGAATCGAATGCATTGATAACATCGATTTTCCCACGATGATCCAGTTCTCCCTTGTTTTTTTAGTCGTATCTTGAAAAAAGTTTTGTTTCTCGAATGAAACAATTTGATTTTTATTCCACGCCCTTATTGCGTAACTGCAAAATAAGTCACTTGCAGTTGCTGTGTGAGTTTTCTGAACGTCATGACACTTTTGAGCTATGTGCTTTGGCTCTTCTTCAGGAATGGCACTAGCGGAGGTCATCCATAGTTGCTATGGCCTAAGCTATAAGTTCTATACTTTAGGTCGTTGTACCATTTCCCTAAAAGTGTCGTTCACAGCTAGTACGCCTGACGTGCGCTAGCGACTAGATATCCTGTAGTGTCATCTATGAGAATTTGTCACAGCTGTTTTTCTATTTACTATATATATATATATATATATATATATACTTCAGAAAGGTTAGTATCTCAAAGATGGCGCTGTCTACGAGTATATACAAGCATACAGGTGACTACAGCCCTATCTATGATACACTAACCTTCTCAATGCATAGAAGATAATAGAGAAACATTTGTGACAAAATTCCCAAATTTTTGAACGCCAAAATATAGCATTAGGTTAATATTTTCATGTAAAATACGCTAATCAATGCTAGTACTCAATTCACAAGTATGGCGATCATAAAACTATCATAGCGATAATTTTACATAATATGGGTCACGGATACCGATGGAACGTGACTACTTTCATGTCAAATTGTCAATGTCGGAGATTAAAGGTTATTTTGTCGCATGTGACTAAGGCTAAGGCCCGTATCGTCAGTCGTCCCTACAATTGTAGGGCGCGTTTATGGCCTCCTTGATTGTCATACTCTTTTCTCTCCTTCAAAAATTTCTAGATTACACTCGTTCCGTGTCAGCGTCAGCGCTCTCCTATTGTTAAAATATGTTTTCCTTTTAAATTGTAGGAAATTTCAGGCTGATAAAACATGATAAAACTCAAAAGCAAGCACAATTTGATGCAAATAGATGTTTGTGACATAACCTCAAAATAGAGCGCTGACACGGAGAAGTAGAAAACTATGACAATCAAGGAGGCCATAAACGCGCCCTACAATTGTAGGGACGACTGACGATACGGGCCTAAGAGAAGGACGTGGAGAACTAAGTCACAGCTTTGGCGCGTAATTTTAAATTTGACAACTGGAGAGCAAGTTTCCTAAAAAAGTGGAAACACTCAAAATATATTTTCTGGGTGCAAAATCTTAAGATATAATTTACCCTGATTCTGTCACTCGTTTGCAGATGGATGTCTGTTGTCCACATTTTTTTTTTCGAACTTATATTTATTTTTATTTTCCTAACTAACTATGATTAACTTTTTCAGAAAATTCAGGTGACTGAAGAGGGAACTTTGAGCAAGGCTGAATCTTATTTCCTAAAATCGAGGAAACTCTGCAAAGAAACAATTCTTGCCACAGAGTACCCAGCTTTGGTCCAATGTTTAGATGGCTTTGTAACTGAAGTCATAGAGGCAAATACTCATCTCCAAAATTTAGAGGTACTATGAGTCTTGTCAAGATTATCTTTATTTAAATAGCCGAAATGCCCTTCTGGTGGAATAGTTGGACACCATACGATGGTCCAACAAATGATCGCTCTTATATTCCAAGCATACCAAACAAGGTCACAAAGTCATGCGAAATAAGTAAACAAGATCGACCGTGTACCATACATGGAGCTTAAATTCTCTAAGGGAGATTGCATGACCGTTGCTTTCATCCACTTTCCGAAAATACACAGTCTGCTGGCATTGTAGTTGTATCTTATGGCACTGCTATGATTTGTATCAAAAATCTATAAAACTTTAAAGTCATATCGCACGCCCATGACAAGCAAGTTGTCATACCGACAATGAAAAACACACATGTGGAGGACTCATATACGTTTTGACGAGGAACTTTTCAAGCCGGTAGGATAAAATAAAACGCGTATGTCAGCGAGTTTACACAAACAAATGTCCGCACAAAGTATCCGACTGCATATGTATGAGCGAGGGAAATGGATGTATAAAGGTAATTCCTGTAGTTTTACTGTGTCCCGACAAAAACCATGAGAAGGCCTACAGATGTACGTATTCATTTTTTACATGAATTCTGACAAATGTTACGCCAAGTAATGATAATAATAATAATAATAATAATAATAATAATAATAATAATAATAATAATAATAATAATAATTTATTGACATCAATTACAAATTGTGAACAAATTCATACGCCACAAAAGGAAAATATCCTTGTATGTGGATGCTAACATAACATACATATTACATAGCAGTTATAATAAACTGATAGGACTAAAAAAAATCGATATAATACAAATGTACATTAATTCTGGATCGTATACTAGCAATGAAGAAAAGATATGTGTTAGTTTTTTATAAATTACATCAGTTTTCAAAAGGCACTCGTATACATCGATTTTTAATAATGATATTCGGTTTTTTCTAATATATTTTCGTACGTTATGATATAATTTTGGATCTAAGTATATAGAATTTTTTTTGTGTTACAATTTTTATTTCTAGCATCATATTCATAATTTTTATAAATGGTCGAATGTTTTTTTTCATGGAATTCTAGTATAACATTATACCAAAATAATTTTTTTATATCTAAAAGTTTTGATTTTATAAACAGCCATTGGCAGGGATATATATCGGTTTGTTATGAATTGTTTTTTATGAATATTTTTTGTATTAGGTCTTTCTCTGTAAAGAATTTATATGGTTATTATTCGAGGATCCTCAGATTATAATTCCATAGGTTGTGTGGCATTCAACTAATGTTTGATATAAAAATTTTAATTGAGTTTCATCGAAATATCGCAAAATCTGGATTTATATAATAGAAAGTTTCTTTTTAATGTATTGGATATGTGCATCCCAACGAAGATGACAGTCTAAAACAATTCCGGGATATTTATGATTTAGTTTACGTGATATATATTTATTTTTGAGATTTCTTTTCTTTATATTTAGCTGATTATATAGTGGTAATTTATTTATGTAAAAGGTGAAGGGAATAAAGTAGGTTTTTTATAATTAATAGTTAATAATTGATTATCGAACCAGTCTGTTATCTGTACTAAATCTTTTTCAATATCTTCTTTTAATGTCGTCCAAGTTCTGGCTTTATGGATGATGGTGGTGTCATCTGCAAATCCTATTTTTTCACTTTTTGTTGATAGATTATATAAGTCTTTGAGATATATATATATATATATATATATATATATATATATATATTAAAAAGAAGGGGCGAAGTATTGTTCCTTGTGGACTCCATACATTACAGTCATTTCTTCACTAGCTATATTTTCAATTTTATCCTTATGTTTTCTGATATGCAAATAATTTTGAAATAATTTAAGTGGCGTACCTCTGATTCCAATGTGTTCTAATTTACTCAATAGTTTTATGCTTTTTGTAAGTCGATGAATACAGCCAGGGTTGGATTGTTGTTATCAATATTTTTAGTTAAATTTCCTACTAATAATTTCAAGGCATCTTTGGTAGATACACCTTTTCTAAAGGGAAACTGTGAATCAGATATTAATTTGAATTCATCAATAAACTTTCAGGATTTTTTCAAATATCTTCGCCAAATTTGTTATAAAAATGAACATAATCTTTATATTTCATTATCCTCTGTGTGAAAATGAATGAAAACATTTTGTGAGAATTACTCAATCCTAATATTAACATCTCTCATGATTTTTTAAGGTCGACAAATCTTTGCCTAAAGAAAAGCAAGTATCGCAAGCAAAAAGTATCCTACAGCAAAAACATAGAGCTTTGGCAGATCTGTTCAAAAACCTGAACAAAATCGGCCTCTCGTACAAAACTGGAATTTTGGAAAGCAAGTTGAAGAAACCGTTAGACGACTTCCTCCATAGGCCGATCGATCTCAACACAAACTTCAGCCATATAAACCATGGGTCAGTGACAATCATATTTGTTTTTCATCTTGAAAGAATTCTTGATCTTAAATGTGTGTATGTGTATGTTTATAGACGACAGGAAGAAAAGATGTTAACTATATGGAATTGCTGCGAAATGTACTACATGAGATCGCAAATGAGAATTGATGTGTTGGAAACAGCTCTTCAAAATCCTTCCAAAGAACTAGGCCCTCAAAACCTAGAAAGATGTAAAGGATTTAGCGCTCATCTATTAGTAAGTGGTCTATGCCATATTAATTTATTTCATACCACACTACAATTTTTTCTGTATATTCAACGACTCAATATTCCAGATATCCAGATAATAGGAAGCTCGTACAATAATAGCTGACTTCTCAACCTAGGTAGATAATGTACTATTGTTTTCAGGCTCTAGCTCAACATCAAAAGCAGCAACTGACACAATCTAGCAGACTGTACTACTACTTACGGTACTATTTATTACAAATGAATGAATTCTGTGAAGGAAATGATTTTTTACATATTGAATTAACTAACAACATAACGACATTTATGAAAAACGCGACGGTGATCTTGAATCAGTATAAAATCATTCTAAACACTTGCCCTTCAGAAGACGATTTCACTAGTAGTAGTAAGATGGAAATACCTGTATTGAAGTTCGGTGGTAAAGAAGCGATCTATAATAAAGATAGCACCTGTTGGTCTGAAACTGTGGCACTGATCAACGAATTACTAGCAGTTTGCAGAAAAATAAGCGGGATCTTGCAAAAGTGCAAAAAGTCGGCACCAGCTGTGGAGTACGACTTGGTCGTACCCGAATTCATACCAGTGCCAGATCTTTACGAGATATTGAAAAATCTAGATAGTATTAAAGATGGTATTGGGCATTTGAAAGAAATCTTCGACAATAACGCTACAACTAACAGTCTCACTTGGCTGCTAAAAGAAGTTAACAGAATCCTAGAACAGTGTAAGGAAAGTAAATCTTTGGACATCAATTTTGAAAAATGTAAGAAACGTTCAGAGAAATTGACCGAGGCAGTGCTTGTGGTCATACAAAATATGTATAAAAAGTATTCTGCTGTGGAGAAAGTTGAAAAGAACAAAGATACGGAAGATGAACCAGTGGAGCTAAGAGATGAAAATTTGAAGAAGCTTTTGGTTGAAAATCTCGTCTCGGATATATCTAGTTTAGAAATGAAAAAAATTCTTACAAGGTGAGTGATGCTTTACTAAAACGTAAATTAATGTTTAATAGGTCTGGATCGTGGCTCTTGGTTACTATATCATTCTGAACACTGATATGATTTTATGTTTTCTAAACTTCCTTTTTTAGGACCCATAAACTAGCTAAAATCGTGTTATCTACTCCACCTCAATATACAGAACAAGTAAAGAAGGTCGCGAACCAGTCCCTACCTCTACTAGAACAACTTACTCAATTTTACCAGTATTTTATAACACAACAAGTGGCTACATACAGAGTTACTTGCAAGATGATGTCTATATTGCTAAACATCTTCATTGAACTTGCATCGAAGGTAAGTAAAAGTTCGATTAGATGCGAGGACAACTTATAACTCTCAGTACAGTACATGTTTCAGATCACTTGCAAAAGAAAGCTTGTATTTTGTAAGATGATGGCAACAAGTTTGTCACTGGACAGTTCAAATCTGGACTATAAAATTCTATATACTGAGAGAATAAAGTTTAGAATTCTATTTGGCATCATATTCTCTTCTAGGGTTTTTGCACACCACCAGAGCTTTCTGATGAAATGGACAAAGAAGGTGTGAGCAAGCCGTCTGATGGAATGGGATTAGGAGAAGGTCAAGGAGAAAGAGATGTTTCCGATAAAATAGAATCAGAAGACCAGTTGGAAGATGCTCAACCTGCTGGACAAGAGAAGACACAGGAAGAAGATCAGGAATGCAAAGAGGAAGAGAAAGGTATGGATCTTTTTAGATATTTGTAATACCCACCTGAGTTGCAACGTATTCAAACAGAATTGCTGATACACAACTTCAGTTGTAAGTCATTATTTCTCTCCTTGCAGGTATAGAAATGAGTGAGGATTTCGAAGGCAAGATGCAGGACGTGGATAAAAAAGGAGAAGAAGATGACAGTGAGAAGAGCTCTGATGATGACGAAGATGCTGATGAACAAATGGGCGAAACAGAAAAAGGCGCTGATCAACTGGATCAGGAGATTTGGGGAGATGATAAGGAAGAGGAAGAAGATGATCAAGGTAAGTACAAACAAAACCGTAGAAATAAGAAAGAATTGGCAATTGTTTTAGATAGAGAATAAACACAACTGATCCACATTGTTCGAAGTTGTGCACCTCTTTAGTTGTCATTTGTTAGCTTGTTAAGATAGCTGCATGAAAGTAACTTGAACTGCTTTATCTTTTTACTTTACTTATGGCCTATAAGATAAACTGTTTTATAGCCTTTCACTAAAATAGGAAATATTAGGGTATTTTAGTATGCTGAAGCAAACGCGTAGGCAGAAACCAAAATACCGGAAGCTTGTAATATGTTGGATGCTATCTGTTTTAGAGTCCCAAGAGGAGGAAAAGGGTGATAAGGGCGAGAAAGAAGGTGAAAGTCAGCTAGGTGCTAAAGAACAAAATCCATCAAAAGACCAACAAGAAAAAGACGATGACGAAAGCCCCGAAGCAAAAGAGAAGAGTAAGAAAGACATAAATGAAATGGAAGAACCAGAGTTGGATGATGATCAAGTGGATCCACACCATGGTAACCAAAAGGAATTACCGGAGCCTGAACCAATGGATCTTCCAGATGATCTTCAGTTGGACGAGGGTCAGCAAGATGATAAACAGGAAGAACAGGAGGACAACCCGTTTGATGTGGATGCAATGAAAGAACAAAACATGCCTGAAGAACAAAAAGAAGATGATGCTGACAAACCTGACGAGGAATTAAAAGACAAAAGTGAGTAACCACGCAAAAACTCAAATAAAATGCACAAAAAGCTGGATTTTTGAATTATTCAATAATTTCAAGACAGTTCATTTTCTCATAACTTAATACTTTGTCATGTAAATAGACTGCAGAAAACTCAGCTACAAAACAAATAATTTTTAACAGATGATGAAGCTGAAGAGTTTAGCAGTGACGATGAAGATATCAAGAAAGGTGATCAAGATACCGAGGAAATGGAGCAAACAGAAGAAAGTGAGAAGAAAGATAGTGAAGACAAAGGAAACCAGGAAGCAGATAACGCAGAAAAAGATGATGAAACAGAAAATACCGATGATACAGCTTTGGATCAAACACAGAGCCATCAGGATAATGTTGAAGCTATGGAAACAGACGAAGCTAATGCAGCTGATAAGGTAACACATCTTTTTCTTATAGTAATGTTACTGGAGAAGCTGTCTCGTTCTCCAGTGAACAATTTTGAGTATACAGGGTGTCCGCAAAGTTGGGGTTTTCCTTTTCAGAAACAACTACCCTTGAAATAACAAAGGTAATGTTGGGGGCGACCAAGTAAAAAAAAAGGAAAAAGCACTCACTCTCTAGTTGACGAGAAGGGCTAAGTACGTCTCTGCACGAAATCATACCGCTCCAACAGAAAATGAAATCAGCTGAAGCGCTACCGAGCAGACGCAGAAACCACATTGATTGTCTTACACTTAATGGCACATCTTCTAACAAGGAAGGCAAAATGTTGCGTGAAAAGTCTAGGTATTGCATCCCGTCCAATCGATTTGGGAGAATAAATGGTCCAATGAGCATACCGTTCACCATGCCAGCCCAAACATTCACCGAAAATGTTTGTTGAAAATGTGCCCGACGGACAGCGTGCGGATTTTCTACTGACCAAACATGAGTGTTGCGAAAGTTATTCACCCCATTGCGCGTAGATTCGTCTGTCACCAATATGCACTTCAAAAAGTCCGGATTATTGTCATGTTGATGCAACAACCACTCACAAAACCGCACTCTTGCTGGAAAATCGTCAGGTTGAAGGGCTTGTACACATTGGACGTGAAACGGATACAGCCTCTCTTCACGCAGCGTTTGCCACACTTTAGTTTTTGATACATGCACTTCTCTAGCCACGTCTCTAGTGCTTGTTGAGGGATTCTCGTCTACGCGATTACCTCTACATGCGTGACCGTAACCGTCGGTTGAAGGTTGCATACTAACCTGACACACTGACCCCGACCCAGTTCTGCCGTCGGGTTGAGACCTTGTACCAATCGGTGATGTCCCGGGTCGCGGCTACAGGACGGTATTCAGATATTTTTGATGTTGCAGAGCCCTTAAGACATTGGTGTATATGGTACTAAGAAAAATTGCTTATGTTTTCAAGATCTACACGTCGTGTAAAGGAAAACCCCAACTTTGCGGACACCCTGTATAATAGTTTTCTTGTGGACGGGTAAAGCACACTCATATGTTTTTGATATCAAATTATGAACATAGATATGGTTCTTCTAAACGTAATGGATTTCAGCCGGTCTCTCTGTCTGCAAATATGACATTATTGATAATACAAATGTCGTCTTATTCATTAGAGCGACTTGAAAGTGCTGTACGTTTTGAAGAACCAGAATATTGTTTCAGATTTATTTTAAAAAGGTATCTAAATTTTCTGATTTTTTATAGACTGAGGCAACACAGTCCGATGTGCAACAACCAAATACAGCCACAGATGTCCAACAAGAAGATAAACCAGATAAAGATGGAGCAGGTCAGGCTCAGATGGAAGAAAGCACCACAGGTCATTCCGCTTCTACCAGCGCTCCCCAAGAAACGAAGTCGTCAAAGAGAGAAGCTGAAGAAGATACTAAACAAAAGCCAGGAGATTCCGATTCTCAAAGGACTCTTGGTGATGTTGATCAACCAGTCAGGAAAAAATTGAAGACGGTTGAATCTAAAAATAGCAAAGAGCAAGAGCCGAAGGACGTTGAAGATGATGCGGAACAGACCGCTGAAATGTATGAGCATATCAAAGAGGGACAGGAATCCGAAATTCAGGTATACATTCAAAATTTATTCCATATTGATTTGATATAACTTGTCTGTTGAGCTCACCCTCGAGCAGATTCGAAACCTCTTGATCTTGTAAGAGCAACAAGAAAGAAACATGATAAACAAGTATTTATAATATTGCCCTCAGATGTTCAAGAGAATCGCTAATGCATTTTGTAATGAATCTTTATTCGACAATATTTTATAGATTCTGGATATCGCTACAAAGGAGCAAGCAGAATCTCAGAAGAAAGAAGCTCAACATAAAGATGACGAGGCGGAAGAAGAAGAGGTTGTAGAATCATCTGAGCAGATTCCTGAGGAACAAGTAGAGGAAATGGAAATAAGTGATGTTCCTAAAGAATATGCTGACAAAGTCGAGGAAGCAAAGGAGAAACAGGGCAAGAAAGGACAGCATCCAGAAGGTATATTGAAAAATGATCATGATGAAATTCAGTGGTGTATCAGAACTATTTTCAACAACTGTTTGATGAAGATTTATTTAGCATTTAGCATTTTTGTATAAGTATTTGTTTACATCTTTTTTAATTTTAGGAAATTTTACATTCTTGTCTATTGCCTACATCACTATGCATTTTGGGTATTCATAAAGTATTTCTTAAAGTTGTTCAAAACATTTTATGAACCGATAGTCCTACTTGCATGAAATTTGAAACACATTTTTTGATAGACGGTCTAATATTTGACTTCTACGAAAAACTCTAAAAGGATTCGAGAAGGGCGAAAACCCCCATCCCTACATAAATTATAGCAAAGTTTTTTGGCAACTTTCCAGACGAATCTGATTTTTTTTATTTCGCATACCTTTTTCATTACTTCACTTTTTGTCTCCTATAAAAAAAAGTAAGTTGCTTCTGCACGTTCTCAAGCGTCTTACTGATTCTTTAAGTGTAGTTAACGAAAATAAACAAGTATGATATTACTTGTTACATTTTTTTTAATACAGGCAATAGAGCGAATCTTTCATAAAAGGTTTTAAATAAGACCAAAAACATTTTTCTCGAAAACTATGCGGGATGGCCTATTAATAAGAGACAAAAAATGAAGTAAACAAAAAAGTCAAATTCGTTGGAAGAGATGCGAAAAAAATCTGCTACAATTTATGTAGGGGTTGAGGTAGGTTTTACCCTTCTAGAATACTGTAAATGTAAAATATTAAGGCGTCTAGCAAAATGCAGCGCAGCTATCCGTTCCAAAAATTTATGAAGAAATGTGTTTCAAAAAGAAAACATTGACGATCCCTAACTGATAAAGGAAGCACTTTTGCATAGAGGTAAATCATGCCCAATCGACTTATTTTGAATCTAAACATACATGGTACTTCTATGTCCACGGAATATTGTGACACCCTGTATTCCATACTGACGCACGTGAGCTTGCGTAATAGCTCATGAGCTGACTTGACGTGATAATATTGTGTGTCCGCCTTTATACACATATTGGACTGAACATTGATTTTCTTTCCAGGCGACGTTCTGGAAGAAACTAAAGAAATCCAGGTAGAAGGCGAAGTAGTTCAAACGTCCACAGTCCCTCGACCTACGGAAACTACCCACCACACCTCCTTCGCAGACATATCCGCCACCACTGCTTCCAGGTTGACCATGGCGGAGATGGCGGCCGTCCGGGGAGAAGTTGAACAACAGCTGGCAGCTTGGAGTGATCCTCCAAGCTGTGCGGAAGCTGAACGAGCTTGGCAGAAAATATCATCGGTCACTGGAGGCCTGGCACAGGAACTGTCTGAACAGTTGAGACTGGTGCTAGAACCCACTTTGGCCAGCAGGTTGAAGGGTGATTTCAGGACGGGCAGGAGGATCAACATGAGGAAGGTTTGTTTTATTTTGTCAATCCTTTTCGACGTTTATGATACAGGGTGTTTTGAAAGTTGGGAGTTTCCTTTATGGCGATTTTCCACTAAACGGACAAAACAAAAAATAAAGTCTTGTCGAATGAAACAAAACTGCAACTTTTCGCAAACTTTTTGAAGACTAGCGTGTTTTGCGTCAGTTGGAGTTTTGTTTTCCGTGTCCAGCCCGGAAGCGGTCACATCAAAAGGTTTCGACGTGTTTTGAAACTCGAGTCTGTTTAGTGAAAACGGTCGTGTTGTATTTTCTATTTTCGCCTTGCTAGTCTGGTAGTCTTTTGTACCAAATTAGTAGATGAGTGAATGACGTATTTGTAGATAAGGGATTTGTTTTGAGACGCTGGATAAATTTATAAGTACATTAAGCTTTGATAACTGTCCCCAGAAACAAGGAACCGCTAATCGATCCTTAACAGAAATTAAATCTCTGAAGTATATGGCTAACTTTGCAACTTTTTTGCCAATTAATGTAATTAACTCTTCAATATTAAAGGGAGACATTCTCAGAATATTATGAAATGATGTGCAATGGGTGATAAAAGGTTTAGTCATAGAGAAGAAAGCAAACTGTAAGGCATTCCAGGCAGCAAAACCATCTCTAACGCAAATAGTGGCTGGCGAAATTGTAAATGACTCCTTCACCCTCAAGGCCGAATGAAAAGTCACAGAATATTTCAAGTTCAGGTCTGGACGCAGTGATGTAGGACATTAGAAATTATATGAAAGTGTCAAAAAGCTCTTGCAGAAGGGTATCAGTTGAACCTTTCAACGCCTCTACCAATCGATTTCACGCTACAATCCCGTCACCGTCCAACGGCAAAATATCACACATCATACAGGCACTACCTATCGCGATATATTTGAGCTGCAAGATTTGAATTCTGAAGAGCTTCACCGTAAACTAACAACATGTCGGCGAACTCTTGATTCGAGAATACTGTAAATAAATAAGACGAAATACGCGAACAATAACTAACCACTGTTACCGTTTGCGATCGATTGCCGGTTCGATAAAAGTGATGAATGACCGACGCGCTGTTGTCATGTATGTTTTAAATATTTAATTTAATGAAACTTACTTACTTACTGACTACAAATTTTAGCTTATCTTAGAAAAACTTAATGCCATTTATTTGTTAATTATCCAATTTAAAAACGTTTTAGATTCGATTATAAAAATTAGTAAGATTGTGGTGATTGTGGTCTATATAAAGCACTTAAAGCTGTAAACTATAAAGCCGTCCCGTCACCGTCCAACGGCAAAATATCACACATCATACAGGCACTACCTATAGTAGATCGTTTTTAATATGAAAAGCAATATCCGAATCCACAAAAGTAAGTACATATTTCAAACAGTTATATATAATAAATTTTATTGATACCATCGAGTTCGGGTTCAGAACCATCGGAATCGATAAATATTCAGTTCAGGACTAGTTGCTGTTTAGCGCTAATTAACACGGATGGTACGTTTAGGAATTGCGGGAATTGGAATCGAAAGGACTCTTGAACGAATCGATTTGGTCCAGCTCTCGTAAGACAAACAAAATTCTAAAAATAACCAAGTACCAATTTATAGCCCCAGGATAAGAAAAAATCTTTGATGTCAAATCTGGCCCTTCCTATAGCAAGGATTAGGTGACGCGCATCAAAAGGTGGATATAAATATTGCCCCGAAAATCCGCGTTTTCCTTACATGAAGCGTTTATGTTTTTAATTTTTAGCTCCATTGATTTTTGCGAAATTATCGTTATCTCAAAGCCATTTCTCTGATTCAAAAGTGTATTTTGTATTTTATTTGTTAAAACAGTGCCAGATCGACTATTTTTTAATAATTTCCGGACATGTGTTTTCATGAACTCTTTTTCATTTTTTTGGTTCTGTTTTCAGGTGATACCGTACATCGCTTCCCAATTCAGAAAAGACAAGATTTGGCTCAGAAGAACGAAACCATCCAAAAGGGACTACCAGATCGTGATAGCCATTGATGACTCTTCCAGTATGGCGGACAACCACTCTAGGGAATTAGCTTTTGAAAGTGTTGCACTTATTTCGAAAGCACTCACGCTGCTTGAGAGTGGACAACTTTCTGTTGTCAGTTTTGGTAAGTTATCCTTCATATCAGTGGTTACTTGTACTCGGAGGTTGAAGCAAGGCACTATGAAGAGCATGCTTAACCTGGTAGGGTGAAATTATGATCCGTTCATTGAAGTCCGGCTCCCGTATTACGTAACTTAAAAGGTGACATATCGATTCGTAATGAAACTAGCGACAGCACTTCATGCTGTGCGTATTGCCTAAACGACATGACACTTGAGGTACTCGTATATGGTTTGGCTCTGATGTGATGTAACATCTAGCTAGTGAGGGCGATTAATAGCTTTACGGCCTTAGCTTTATGTACTATGTATACTATTTCCCGAATGACGGTTGTTGTGCCACCAAAGGGGACCATAGGGGACCTCGGTTGGCCGCGTGGGTCAGAGTGTCGTGCTACTGATCAGCCGGCCGGCCGGGTCGCGAGTTCGAATCTCGCCTTCGCCATGGATGTTGTGTGTTTGTTTTAGGCAGCAGCGGTGGCCGCAGTAGTAGACTCTTCGGTCTCCTGATCAGTCGCCGTGCGCTGTGAGGGTTCGAGTCCCGTCCCAGGAGAAATTTTTCTCTTGGCTATGGATGTTGTGATTGTCCGTAGGTGGTAGATGGTCTCTGACAGTCGAACGCGGAGGTACCACCCGGCGGTTCTTGTAGGCGGAGCCAGAATGTGTGCATGTTGCATACACACGTGTTCCCTCGCCAGAGTCCGTGTGGCGTCCCCCCTTTCCCATGTATCCCCCTATAGCCCCACGGTACTCAATGGGTGCTTAGGCCTTAGGCCTTCGTGGTAGTCGGAGTATAAAAAAAAAATAGGCGGAGTTCATAACGAGTAGGTGCGGAATGGATCAGCGACTCCTTAGTACACAAGGTGGGATTTATACCGATGTTTAATGAAAATATATCAATTTTTACTTCCCACGCCTACTGGCGAGGAAGTATTGGAAAATGTCAAAAGTGAGATGTTTTTTGGATGTTATATGACATGTATATCACGAAAAAACCATGCCACTCATTTCGGTCGGTCTCTCTGTCTGTCAGTCTGTCCGTTAATCTTTAGACCGCCTATAACAGGGAAAGCTCCGCATGGATTTAGATGAAATTTTCACACAAAGTTACTAATATTCCAAGGACGAAAAAGCTTTGTTGTTTTCGAACGTCGGCCCAGTGACGGCGGAGCTAGGGGCAAAAAAACGAGAGGCTTCTGATCATTTTCAGAAAAGTTTTTGTATGGGTTAAAAATCACATATGTACTTATCCGATTGAGCACGGCTTTTGAGTTATCATTTTTAAGAAATTGTGGAAAATCACTACTTTTGAGTCTGTACTATCTTTTTTCTGAACTCTTTTTTGTTATTTTTTCAATCAGATTAACAGAATATGTTCTCTAATGATTTAGAAAGTACAACAATCGGCTAATCTACAATTTTGTCTGTTGTGAAAAAGATTACAGCATATTCAACGAGGTCTGTGCAAAAAATTAGTCTGCGGATAAAGTGTTCATAGTGATGGAAAACTTTCGATAATATGGCCTTTTAAAATACCTTAGATAATCAAATATCCTAAATAGTTTCTGCGCAAAGTAGACAAAATGCTGCAGGTACCCTAAATCCGGAAATTCCCATTTTTTAAACTTAATTCCTGAACTACTATTGTTGATCTTCTTTCTTCCAAATAGGATAAGCAAACACTTAGATCCCATGAATGTGATGCTTGAGTTTTCACCACCTATATCCTAGGGGTCATTCTTTTTTTTTTAGAAGATGTTGCGGCTCTGAAAAAAGACCTTCTTTTATTAGGCGATATTTACAGGAGATGTTCCAAGTGTCTTTCTTTTGCTCTAATGCAAGCTATGCGTTGTCACAGAAAATTTCTTTCAACCCGCTGGAAAATCAAAAACGGCAGTTGATGGGTTAAGATAAAGATTTAGGGTACCTGCAGCATTTTGTCTACTTTGAGGATATTATCTAATAGGTATTTTGAAAGGCCATAGTATTGGGAAGTTTTTCATCACTATGGACACTTTATCCGCCTACTAATTTTTTATACATGCCTCGTTGAATATGCTGTATTTTTATTGACAACAGATGAAATTGCAGATAGCCCGCTTTCGTTTGCTTCATGACTTTTGGGATACTGTATAATGTGAAACTAACTTTGTAAGTTTATTTTACAAATGATCGTACTCGATGCAGTTGGTCGAATTAAGAGACACTCCGGTAAAATTCCCCGAATATATGTTTTCATTCCATTTTGTTACAGGTGAAAGAGTAGAGGTGATCCACAAACTGACGGAACAGTTTACTGATCGCAGTGGTACAAAGCTACTACAGAAATTCAGGTTCGACGAGACAAAAACCAATGTGGGGAAGCTAGTGGATTTCGTCACAGAGATGTTTAACCAATCGCAGAAGCAGACCGCAGCTGTCAACGCGAAGCTCCTAGTGATTGTTAGTGATGGCAGGGGTGTGTTTTCAGAAGGCGAGACTTACGTCCGACAAGCTGTGAGAAGAGCCAAGTTGGCCGACATATTTACGGTGTTCGTCATTGTTGACAATCCGGAGAACAAAAGCTCTGTATTGGATATAAGGATGCCGTTGTTTAAAGATGGAAAGTTATTGGGAATATTAAGCTATATGGACTTCTTCCCTTTCTCCTTTTATATTATCTTGAGGGATATTAATTCCTTGCCAAATGTGTTAAGTGATGCACTTAGGCAGTGGTTTGAAATTGTGTCAAATGTAGATAAGTGAATGATTGTACCGATAAGGTCGTAATTAATAAAGTATACTATTATTCTAATTTTGTTTCAATGCTCGTTGCTCGTAACTCGAAGTTGACAGTTACTCCACTGGTAACTGAAAGTTAGCTGTGACCCTACTGTTGTTTTAAAACTGTTCGAAGCGTTTACCGTGGACTTAATTTCTCCAGACTAATTCATTTAATTCACTCGCAAGGGCGGATTTAAGAATATGTCTGGAGGGGGAGGGGTGCAGCGGTGGTCGCAGTATTCATGATTGGAAGAACGATGTCTGGGGGGATGGGGGAATGGCTGCATGCAGCACTTGAGCTGAGCCTGTGAGAGCAAATGCCCTTGTATCAACTGAAGAGCTGTGGTGGGATGCATCTAGGAAGGAGCGCACGTCTAGCAAGGTAATTTTTACAGTAAGATACAGGAACAGATGATTTTCTTGAAAAAAATGGCAGACTAGCGTCTCGCGCCCTCCTCCCCTCTAAATCCGCCAATGTTCACCCGACGACATAGACTGCAGTATTTCTATTAATCCACCCACGGCGTCGACTACGCTCGCCATTTAGCCACAAAAAGCGTCCACCCTTTCGCACCGGCGGGCCGTCGGCGATCTAGCTCTCTTCTACCGCTACATCAACGGGCTTTGCTCCTCAGAGCTCTCTTCGATGATGCGGCCGCGCGATCTGCCTGCCAGACAGACCCGCCAGACTTTGGTGTTCCATCCTAACCGTGTCGAACTTCGTACATCCAGAATTGGCCGGTACGACCGTTCCTTTGTCCCGAGGGTGTCGAGATTGTAGAACAATCTACAAGAGGAAGCTTTTCCCGGTTCTACTAGCCTTAGGCAGTTCAAAAATCGGATTAACAAAATTTCTTTGGGATCCTTATAGCAGCCGCGGTGTCCCGGCATTTAGGCTTCTGCCTGCGCAGCTGCTTCGGTATAAAAAAAATTACCTTGAGAAGTTTATTTCACTGGACTATTTTCCTAAATCCACTTGGAAGTAACGAGTGCGCGTGCCATGTATCTAAAAAACTTTGGGAAGTTAATATCACTTGTCTATTTTCCTTAATGAGCCTGAGTCGCTTTCCTATGCCTCAGTCACACGGTACTGATCAACACCTATATCGTTCCACTGCGCTAGAGTGTCATGCACCTGAGGTACTCATTATTTGAAGCCTCTGCCCCCTCATGCACTAGCCTTTTATTCGGTGTTATATGGTCCGAAATAGTGAGGATAACGAAAATGACAAACAGTTTGTCAAGATTGTTAGGTTATCTTTTTTTTTTTTTTATTAGACTCGCATTAAACCGATACCAGACAATGAAGGATGGTAAAAAACTGATGATGTATGGCCCGGAGTCACAACATACATTTGAGATGTTCCTGAATAATAAAGATTATAAGATAGCGCAAGAAGGAAAAATATGAATCCATTCACACATGAGCTTCAGACTAAAAATGTTCGAATCCTAAACACAAAGGAATAAATATTTTCTGACAGTGTGATCATAAACTGACAACGTCAAAGCAAACCATTAAAAGATAAGACACGTTTTTATCGTTGCGTTCCCGTGCACATTTGCTAGGGCAGTTTTGGATTGTCACACTCCGGGTGCTTTCAACTCTCAATCCAAAAGTACTGGAAAGCGGCTCTGATCACGTGAAATGCTCCCGTTCACGTGATTAACCGAAAAAAGTTGCGAGATTAATTTCACTCTTAACCGTCCCACAACGTCGACTACGCTCGTTTGAGGTATTAAGAGAATAGCGGAACTTTTTCCATGGTAGATTGTTGGAGAAAAATTCGTTCGTAGGAGAAGCTACACTGCACCAGCATCAAATGCAGACTGTTAGTTAAAGAGCTTCCCCCATTTCCGAATTTTCTCTGGAACCAGTAAGCATCCCATCCAGCACTATCCAGAGCAAACCGTCTCATCACCACCAATGTATGTACGTTCACATGTTACGGTAGACTTCGCAAATGTGGGCCTAACAGACAAGGTTAAATATTTCTTTAGAAGTAATTTCAAAATATCCTTCGGGGTCTTTTAGGCAAGGTCTAAACTTCAATTTAGATACTTGACGACCTAAACAAATATATGTATCAAGAGTTTTTAAGCATTAAATATATACCATTTTTCGGGGTTTTCAGACAATGAGTCGCGTATAACTCGAAAATGGTCAGCTTTAGAGAAAAGTTCATTGAAGCCTTTTTTGTTCGGAATGATCCAATAAACTCGATTATCAAGTCTTTTCGGGGCAAAACATAATTCACTAAAAGAAATTGTTACGAATTTGAAATATTTACACAATGTTACTAACATGCCAAAGATGCAAAATGTTTGAGGTTTTCGAGAATCGGTCCAGCGGCGGCGGAGAAAAAGGCCAAAAAGAAAAAAAAGAAAAATTGCTCAAACTTCAAACTTCGTTTTTTGACGTTTCAGACGATCCTTGAAAATTGTAGTTGGGGGGATGTATCTCAATTTTTGACGTTGTTATATTTATATGCCACCAACCCCAGTAATTCTACGCACAAATTAGACATATTTCACACATCATAGATTTACTGTGCATGGCGAAAGCCAATATCGTCATTCACGTGGGATTGGTCATGTGCGCCTATAGCAATTCCTCTCAGGGGAAGGAGGAAGGTCATTAAATTTTTGTGTTATACATGAACATAGCTAACCTTTTTCTCAGAAGGGCGAACTTGTGCCAAACATAATCCTTTACGAACTGATGAGCGTAGCTTGGGAAGTGCAGAGTCAACTTACTTGACGCCATTTTGTTCTCCGTTTTGGGATGGCTTGCCCTGAAAGAGAATTTCGACCATCGACATTTATGTCCTGAAGAATTTTTCGCTTTGTATTAGATGAGTGAACATTTTTAAACTTTCGTTATTTCCATACTGATGGGTGAAATAAGTTTAAAAATGTTCTCTCATCTAGTCTAACAAGGATCACTTTTGTATATTGCGATCCGTGCATTGGATGTTGTACGTTTGTTGGTATTTATTTCTCCGTTTTTGGGATTGCTTGTCCTGAAAGTGAATTTCGAACATCGACGGTCACGTCCCGAAGAACAAACTCTCTTCCTCGAGTGATTGCAAGAACTTTTTGCTTTGCATCTTAGCTAGTGATCTAAAACTATCATCCGCCTCTCTGAACATATTTTTATGCACTGAGAGCAGCGTTGCGTGGGAAGTGCAGAATTTTATAATTCATTTACTTAATACTATTCGTCATTTGTTGGTCTGGGCGGTCCGTAGGACCTTTGCTCATTAGTCACTGCCTAATGTACGTTAGTCGGATCTGTCAGTCCTGGTTGCCCAGAAACCAGACAACGTCAAGGAAAAGGAGAAAGGGAAAGACAAGAAAAAAGGAGAAGAGCAAAAAAAAACCGAAGTGTTTAGTTTAAGAGAAAATACCTAGGCTTTTTGACTTGGTACACGGATTAATTTTGAGGTGAACTAAACAAATTTTGATTCGGTTTTGTTGGAGTGTAATTTTAAGTTTACTCAAAGTTCGCGGTAATTTTTGTTTACAGTGCGAGCCGTGGCCTTGAATGTTTAGTCCACTGAGTCGCGCAACAGAGGGTTGCTGTGCGATTCCGCTTGACTATAACATCGCTGCGCCTGAAGCTTGACATAATCCCTCAAGTAAGGAATGTCAAGGTCTCAGTGTAGTATCTCGTTTGAGACATACCATGGAGTGTTGCAAATTGTTCGCAAAGTTCTACTTTGCAGTACTTGAAGACTTTGCATGTGTGCCTTGGCAAGAAAACACCAAGCCGCACATGCATATGTAATGGCTGATGGCTGGTCTAATAATCATTTTATATAGGCGAACTTTGTTTATCAAATTCAATTTGGTGGATCTACATAACAAAGGATATAGTTGCCGAAACGCAATTTGGAATTTTGTTTTCAAGGCTGCTGTATGTTTCTGCCAGGTCATGCCTTTATCAGGGGTGACACCGAGGTACTAGGCAGAATTTGTCCATGGTACACGATTGCCGTCTATAGAAACCTCTGCTGCGGGGTCGCGACGTTTTTTGGTACAATAAATAGCCTGCCTTTTCGAATGATTAATTTTAATCAGCCACCGTTCCGCCCACTCTAGTACTTCTTCCACCGCACTCTGCAACCCATCGTGAACCAGATCACCAACACACGACTGGGCGACAAGTGCAGTGTCGTCAGCTTAGACGTAGACTTCACATTTGCTGGGACAAGGGACATCATGGATCAAAAACGAATAAAAGATTGGTCCTAGGACCGAACCCTGGGGAACACCGGCCCGTACTGGCCGTGTTGTTGACACATTGTTAATTTTCACCCGAAACTTCCTTCCTTCAAGAAAGGATTTGAGTAATATTAGAAGCCAAAAAGGAAAACCCCTTTTGGATTAGTCTATAAAGGAGGCCCGCGTGCCACACCGTTGAGACATCCAAAAGCAAGATGCCAGTACTCATGCTGAGGGTGAACCCTCTGGTTAAATGTTCCTGATTGCCTGTAGCTCGGTGCTATGCTCGGACCGAAAACCGAATTGAACGTCAGGAATCACATGGTGATTTGTCGAAAAATTCTCAAGATGCAGACTAATGGGACGGTAATCCTGAGGAAATATCGAAACCACCTTCTTTGGAATCATGATGACCTCAGCAGTCTTCCACCCTGCGGGGAAGTGCTGGGTTCTGAGCATCGCATTGATTATTGTCACAAAATGTCAGAGTTTTCGGCGAGAGCAGCTTCAGTGCTTTGTTGGTGATTTGATCCTTCCCATGTGCTTTACGTACTTTGAGGTCTTTAATAAGACCTAGGAGATCCACTGGAGTGCAATGTGGAACCTCGGAGGGTTCCTCTAATATGCTATGCGAAGCCTCAGATGATTCCTCTGCCGTTGGCCCTAAAATATCTCCTGACGGATCTTACAATGTGTTGTTCCTCGTCGAGGTCATTCTCAAGATCATAGTTGGGAGAGAACTGTTTTTCCATGGCGTCAGCGAAAACCTCGACCTTATCCTCTGTTCTGAAGACTATGCCTTCAGGACCGTGGATGTGCGGCAGTTGTTCTCGCTTTCCGCAACGCACCATTTGAACTTAAGTCGTTGTCTGCGAGAGTGTCCCATAAACTGCCATCGGCAACAATCGGTTCTCCAATAATGTTGAAGCCAAAACATATCCCTAGCCCCGTAACCTACATTCACCATAACAATGACGGCAGGTGTCAACGAACGACTCTTTTCCCTTGTCGCTCGCGTGGCCGTGTCCACCCTGCTATCGATCTCTCAACCTCCAACCCCCAGCGGAATAATCAATACTTTTCCACTCCTTATTCTACGACACATAAATGCAACCACTACCCTCCAATCGCTCATCGTAAACAAATTATCGCTGCTCGTTCATAATTGAAAGTATCGAGGATTGAGTAGGATGTAAAAGTAGTGCCTGGTGGATATGGAGACGAGCAAGAGAGATGTGAGTGCTACTAAGGGCACCAGAGGGCCCTTCGTGCCTTTCTACGAACCTCCGCAGCAAAGAAAAACCAGCGCTGAAATTATCAACGAGGCCAGGCTAGCTATCAGGGGTAAGTAGGTTACACAAAAAATGGCTCATAGAATTATTAGTTTCTCAAAACATTTACAAAACATTTATACGAGCAATTTGGACATTTGTTTCTCGAATTATTAACACAAACTTTTTATCCACTTGCAAGCATTATAATCACGTACAATATTTTAATTTCTACAAATCTGCAGCTATTAACAGCATAAAATTCCGTTTACAGTGATTGATCAGTGAATGAAGAACTGAGATTGTAAAAACTAAGATTCCACTATCTGACTTAGCCAGGGGGCTGTAGCCTCCTTAAAGAATCCGGATGAACCTAAAAATATGCATATTTAGCTAGTTTTTGTATAAAATTTTTGAGATTTTTAGGATTTGCTCACTCTGATATAAATTTGCTACCCCTCGCTCTTGTTTCGGGGGCACCTACACTTTAATAGAAAGACATCTCTTTCCAGTGATCGCCTTTCCTCATAAGTATTCGCGGGAGCACCAATGTGTGGAGGGAAAAGATTTAAAAAATTTCAGAGCCCTAGGTTGAACGGTTCGATCGGAAATGGCGCTCAAATTATGAAGGTTTTGGAAAATTTTACATTTTCTCACCATGACTTTCAAATTATGATCCGCTAATTCGTTCGATAGATATTTCTGTCAAAACTTATATTTTTGATTTTTTTTCTGTTTTATTGGGCTGTCAATTTTAGCGCCTTCCGAAAAAAATCCACAAAATCAATTTTTATGAGGACCAACCTGTCGATCTATATAAATTGAATTTTGTACTCGCACCCACCAAACACATAAGACTCGGACCTTTGAATCGGTTGAATAGACCGTTTGACCCAGTTTTCGATATTTTGGCTCAAAATTAAGAAGATTGGGTTGTTGGGGCTTGAACTAATCATAGAGGTGAGCTCCAAATACATCAACATATTACTTAATGTCCATTGGCAACCGGAACTTTTGAAGCAATATTTGCAAAACTCTAATAGTTCAGTACACACTGTCCAAGAAAATTTTTTTTTTATACTCGAACCACCACGGAGGCCTAAGGCCTAAACACCGATGGGGTACCTATTTACAAAGGCCCACAGTTGTTTTGCTTCAGGGCACTATTCGTCTACGGATTATTTAAATAGATTTGTTTTTTGAGGAATGATGTAAAGAAAAAGCTACGATTGTGAGAAATTACGTGGCCAGGAAAACGGGTCTGTGAAAATTCTAAAGTTTCCTTCAACGTGTCGCAAGTTCAAAACGCATATTGATGCATGAAAAGTCTTTTAGCAAACTGCGGTAACACTCGTCGTTAACATCTATCACATCACCATTTCCACGAAAAACTCAAAAAACGAGAGAGAATTGTCGTAATACGTTTGCACAGTGCGTTTTCAAACGGTCCATTATATTAACCGGTAAATGTTCAAAAATGGTATAGTTGTAGTCACCGTTCTTGGCGGGACAAAGTAAGACTACCAGTATCCGTTTATATATATCCATCTCCCCCATACATAGACATGCAGCCTACCCCTGTCTGTGAACGTTTGTTCGGTAAAGACATACGTTTTTTAGTTGTGTATCTCCGTCTCGAAAATTTTGTCGTTTATGAGTGCCGTTCAATCATATTTGTCAGAGTGAGAACTTACTTGACAATTTGAGTTGTCCTGTCCAATATAAAATTATACAATGCCCAGAAATACGATCAATGGAGAAAGCCGACAGCTCGTGCTAAATTTATTGCGCAGTGTTCCGCCTATGGTACGCAGACTCGATCTGTTTACTTATTTCATATGGCGTTGATGACGTAAACGCCAAGAACGGTGTCTATAACAAACTATACTAAATTCAAATTCCGAAGTACCTATTTACCATTTAAACATTACTACTTGGATATTAGAGTTTACTGTTCACAAGGTCAGGATGTATTTTTTCGACAAGATTCATTTCCACGGGACATTTTCCAAACGAATAGCTGAAAAGCATTCGAGACTCTCCTCATGCATATTTGATTCCGAGCTATTTGTGGAAATGCATACTGCGTCGTCCAATTCATAGTCATAGAAAATTAACTTCATTGTTTTACCAGGCTGAAACTAGCAGCAAATTCTCAGTAGCAAGTTGAGAATAACCCCGTTCCTCAATAGTCCAAGTACTATAGTAGTAGTATACTGGATTGTCTTTCAATAAAAAATACTAAGGCTTGTCGTTCCTCATGAATGGATCTAGAAAATTGGTATGTGACGGAACGACTTGCTTTAACATTGTTTATTGGATGAAAAACCTTTAATATTGGATATTCTCCTACAAAACTAATTATTACTAATTATCTGGATTTTTTTATAATATCCTAGAATAGATCTCGAAAAGAGGTATGGGCCATTCATGGGGCAACGGCATATTTTAGTGTTTTTATTGGGAAAACCCCTTGGCTATTATCTTACTTTAACTTTATATTGCCATGTTCAAATCGTCTAAAATTTTCTGGAAATTTACTACAATAGATTGAATAGATCTGGAAAAAAAGGCTTGTGCCATTCATCAGGAACGAGTAGGGTTAAATATTTTTTATTGGATGAAAAACCAATATACTACTTTTACATTACCTGGACTATTGTGGGACAGGGTTTTGCTCAACTTGCTGCTGAAAATTTGCAGTTAGTTCTAGCCTCGTTCATTCTTTTTCGTGAAGTTGAAGACGAGGCTTATATACGTACATAATAGTTATATGTATAACCTTAATGTTTGCAAACGGCATATTTGTTTCTCCACCGTGATGCCCAAGGCTACATGAGACCCATAAATAATCTTGTATCACGGATTTTTCCTTTTGAAGTTGTAAATTACTAACCCCAGAAATGAGCTTGACCAATGATGTCAGGGGTATATCGAGAATGAGCGGTAAAAGTAGCTGTATGTCAAACTGTACTAGAAAAGTTCTTACAATTGGCCTAGTGGTTTGCCACCTCTATATGAAATAGTTTGTAGAAGCCCTAAAAATAATTGCTTTTATTTATTTTTAACGTAGCTTCACAGCCACTGTTTGCCACTTTGATTGTTGCCACTCGCACCATGCCAAGTACGGTAATTGTATCCTATCAGGGCAAACGCTCCTCCATTAGCGTCAAGCCGGCAACAACGCGGTCTACCATCGACCCACTCAATCTGTGACCGTCATGCGATACAGACGATTTATTTTGCAACAGCTGTTACCCGCGACTGCGCTTGAAACTGTAACATAAAACAGTTTTTTTAAGTCATACTATAAACTTGCAGTCACTTTTTGTTATCTTTGATTGCATTAGTAAATTGACAGCCAAATTGCATGTTCGGGAAAATGGATGGAGTGCAGCCTGCACGTCTCGCGGGTAAAACCGCGGGGCTAGAAGATAAATATAACTAAACAGACCGTACATACGTACATTATTTTTTCAAAAAGTATTAAATATCCAATAGAATATTTTCTCTATTTTAATTTAAATTATGACATGACTTAGAAGGAAGATATTGTGTAATCCTTCAATTCAATTGACCGTATTGTAACAGATACAGTACGTTGCAAAGTCTAGACTATGGCGATTCACACTTAATCTTGTCATATGACCCATCGCTTCTTTAATCTACGACTAAAACTTAGCCTAAAGGAATTATCAAGTAATTGACAAGACATTATCCAAGAACAGAGATCCTACGTGACAGATTACTAAAAACATATATACAACTAAGACAGGAAGAAATATAAGGGTTCAATAAGCAATTAATGGCTTTAGAAATATTTTCACGTATGCTCATTATTAAAATATACTAACTTATCTTGTAACATTGGGGTGCTAGCACACCGAATCTATACATTCCATAAAGTTGATGAGACGGTTGTAGGAGACTTCTTTAATTTCATTTATGATTTAGCAATTATTATCGAAAAATGAGTCGGACAGGACCAACGAATTCAAATAGATTAAAAGGCAAGCCTACATGTCTAGATTACATTGTTTGTCGCCCAAATTGCGTAGTTCCAGTGCATGCTTTTGACTCATTTGACTATTGCATACCAAAGCGAAAGCGTCGTGTCAACATAATAAAGATTTACCTTCGTTAAAATCAAACCCAAATGAGTTTGCTGATCTGAGACCTATTGCCATTTTTATCTAAAGTAGTTGAAAAGGCAGCTTACATATAACTAATGCATTATGCAGATGAACAATCGTCTCATCTAATCAGTCTTTTATGAAATCTTTCAGTACTACTACTTCCCTCCTTAACTTAGTTGATAATATTATTAGAGCCCTTATGCTTTGTCAATCGATTACTCCAAGACATTTGACAAAATCAATCATGAGTTGTTAATATTGAAGTATCATGGTATAGATCCAACTGCACTGATCTTTTTTCGTAATTATATATCAAATCGATCGCAGTGTGTATCAACTGATAACAATGAATCTAGTTTTCTGGAAATTTCCTCTGGAGTACCTCTGTTTTCGGTTTCTTGGATCTACATGAGACTGTGAGATTCTGTGAATTCCAATCTTTCGCGCACGATACTCAACTTGTTCACTATTTTGATACTGATGATATAGAAATGGCGCAGGCATAAATAAACCATGATATTCAAAAAGTTTATAAATATCCGAATAACCACAACTTGTCTATAAATCCTAGGAAGTCCAGCGTTTTATTATTATTACTTTTTCGTTCAGGCCGTAAAAGAGAAGGAGTTAAAAGTCAACTTGCTGTTAACATTGGAGCTCAAAGACTATACCCGGTTGATGAGGTTAAAATTCTTGGCGTAATAATTGATTTTAAACTCAGATGCTCCATTCATGTCAAGAACATTTTAAAGAAAACCTATATGAGACCGAGATAACTATATGCTAATACAGCAGTGTTTAATTTTAAACTAAGGAAAAAATTGTTCTCATCTTTGGTTATCCTCATTTTTTATTACTGTGATATTTTATATTATCCGTGTCTTAATTACTAGAAATCGGATTCAAATTGTGAAAAATAATTGTGTCAAATTCATCG